ATTGTTCATTTTCTAATGATATCACATGTGTAATCTTAAACTCATTGAAAGTCCAAAACCACGGCCACTGCATGATGCATGCATGGCTTTATTTTTGTCCACAAAGGGCAATTTTCAAGTTAAGGTGGGACACAGTTCGGGGGATTGTTATGGTTTACATGTACTCACTATTTATACATAAAGATTTGCGTTTAATAGAGACTGAGTGTATGAATTTTGCTGCCCTGTCTCAATAACATTCTTTCATTTTCTTTTTACAGGCAACGTCAACACATAATTAAGATGCATATAAGAAAATTTATATTGTTGTTAGGCTGCATACTTTGTGCAGTAGTACAATTTGGTGAGTCTTCCACTGCTACTGCTGGTGCTGTTACAGATGAATCAGATTCTGCGTCTACAGAGTCAGATGTAACTGAATCACCAGGTAAATTCTCACATTCCTTGCTTTTCGTTAAAAAAAATAAGGCATTTTAGCATTATTGCCAACATGGTAGACATGGGTTGAAACTTAAACAAATGCATGGTTGTCTAAAAAGAAAACCACTCAGAAAACTGCATAGTTGCGTGTCCACATGAGTTTTTAAGTTATAAAGTTTTTGTGTACTTTGAATATTATTGAAGGCAAATGTTGTCATCTTTCACAAAATAAACCTGAATAATTTGTGGCACCTAGAATTAAGACATGTTAGTGATTTCTGTATTTATACTCTCACGGTTGACTCATTGGGCAACCAGTTTCCTGCATTAGTTGCCTCCAAGACAAAATGGACAACCAGGAACTGCCAATTTCGACCGTATGCAAGGGTAGATTGACCAGTATGTATTAATATAAATCTTTTTCATAAAGTGGGCATACTTCCAAAATCAACATATCACATGTTTACAAATGAGTCCAAGATAAGAGAATCAAAATTTTGAATTTAGATCACTGATAGACCATAGCATAGAGGTAATTGTTGCATTGGGCTCATGATCAGTGCACCAGAGTTCAAATCCTAACCTGGTTGAACACTAAGAATTTAGCCCTCTATGGTGCTAATCTGAATGAACTAAGCAATTTGGCACTGGTGAACAACCCCCTAATTATAACCTTTATGCGCAGGTACTCTGCATATTACACACTCCTGTATATTTGAATATGTTCAAACTACAAGTCCCCATCAGTTTACAGTTATGTATTGCATTTCACCTAATAGTGCAATAAATCTGCAAGTCTACCACAGTGCTGCCATTTTCATAACTTGGGGGGCATAAATATTGCAAATGATTGAGTTTTGATAGAAATGTTGCTTTTTGAGAACAAGTGTACTATGTATGACATCTAATGTTTTTGTAATCAATAATTTTTTGCACTAAAAATATGACCAGTTCAAAATTTCAACATATTTGTGTATTCTGAAAACTTTTGAAATTTTATTTTACGGTACATTTTAAGATAAAAGGCTTCCTGTGGCAGAGGTACTACTGTGTAAAGTGCAGGTGTCTATAGGAGAAATACTTTGTGCTGAACTGTGAGGGCATCATTCTACTTCTACCCAAGTTGCAAGAACAGAGTTGCTCACATATATATTATGTTTTGTTACAGAAGTTACAGACACTATTTCTGGATGTATAAAACTTGCAAGCTTCTGCAGTTGGATCACTTTGCTCATGGTTATGCTAGTTTACATAACTAATTAGTTCTTTGGATGCCAGTTAAAAATAGGAGAGATTTGCAAGGTTTTTTTTTTTACAAATCATGGAAAACCATCAAACTTATATTCCAAAACCTTGATCGTTTTTTAACCCATGCTAAGAAGAGTGGCTCATAGAATATTGGAAGTATTCATTATGATGGCATTTCAACACGAAGATTCTGATATATCTGTCACTACAATTACATACACGCGTGTGTATATGCACTACAACTGACTGAATTTACGACTATCCACCAATGACAGCCACCATGATTCTTAAGATGATTTGGCACAAAGGTGGATAATTGGAAAGATTGGTGTTTGCAAGCCTGAAAAATTGTGTCATATGAACTTAGTTTGGTAAAAATAAAGATTACTGGCATATTTATACAAGACTGTTGTATTGAAGTGTTCAGTCACTTTATTATATTTTGTTTGGTAGCCTTTAATGTACGAAGTATTATTACACATCCTTCACTAGCCGTTTGTGTGTTGTAATTTGCAGTATACAAATTGTTAGATCCAACCACTTACCACATCAATGTCTAGACTTGCTGGCAATGTAGCTGCAGGAAGTTACTCTGCAACACAGACAGTTTATTGCAGCAATCAGAAAGATTGGGTTCGTTGCACAAAATTACTGCAAGAACTACATGCATCAGTGGGGGAAAGGTACAACTAACAGTCATCAGAGGGGTAGCTTATTGAGATTGGAAGTATGTGATATTTATCGGCCAATCTACCTTATGTAGGATGTCACACCACTGACCAGAAAGCAAACAATTTCATGGGGGGGGGGGGGGTGTCTTCTCCCCAGGAATTTAAACCACTGTGGCAGACTAACTTGCATATCATTTACATAATAGAAATTGACCAAACCACATTTACACCCACACAACACACATTTTCAAAAACAAAGTGGCACATATTTATTTGCTTCGAACAGTGTTGTTATAAACACTTCTTTTGGGCACTTTCGTAATATTAATAAGCTGTCACAGTGCACATTTTTTTAGTGGAGACAAAATATTAGGTTTCATGACTTAGAAAATATTAAAATGAAACATTCTCGAAATGCAAATGCTGCAGACTAAAAACAAACAAATCGAAAAAGGTTAAATGAAATGCATTTGAAACGTTTCAGCCAGGAATATGTTCACGACTTCATGATCTCATTTACTACAAAAATATTTAGTACATAAATATTTGGCAGATTGCTGGTTATTATTTGGACCATCAGCTTCTACAACGTTTACAGTAATGAACGAACAAATAGCACTTCCAAACTATCAAAGTTATGACGCAATACAACTTACTTTTTGATGTTATACACCGATTATACCAATATTTCCTCTTAGTCATGATGCCATGCAAAAAATGTTAATTCTCTTTTTAGTCCCCGCTCGGACAAAGTCCAGAAACTGGGACTTATCAATCGGTCTCCATCCGTCCATAGTCTTATTTCAGAATCCTTTGAACCTATTCTGTTCATTCTTCGCATGTGCCTAGTACTTTATGTGGTACATATGCACATGCAGTGGTTTAGCGGTTCGATTCAAAATGGCCAACTGGCAGCCATTTTGTTTTTTGAAAATGTTGCATTTTGGACATGCTTTGTCAGTTTTCATTCAAACTTGGTACATAGATTATACATGTTAGGATACATGTCCATGACCTTTCACAATTGGATCAAAGATGGCCGACTGGCAGGCATCTTGTTTTGTTTTTTTAAATGTGGCATTTTGGACATGCTTTTTCAATTTTTATTCAAATTTGGCACAACCCTTATTACATGTTAAGATACATGTCCATTTGTTTTAAAATCTGATCAAGGATGGCCGCTTGACAGCCATCTGAATTTTTGGCCTTACCACTATTTCCTAGATTCATGTACCATTTTCATTTGGCACGTACATCATACATGTTACTTTGTTTCATAGTCGGATCAAAGATGCCCGAATAATGGCATTTTTTACTTTTGGCCATATAACTATCTGTCACCCATGTATCATTTTCATTGATATTTAGCAGGTCATAAATGTATATTTAATATAACAAGCACAAAGAGAACTTTCAAAAATTTAACGGGGACTGTCATTTTCAACGACTTGTTTGATATGAAATAAAAGTAAAATTTGACTTGGTTTTATCGGGAGCAATTACTGTTGATCACTCCGCCACTATGTTTGTGACGCATTAGTTGATCAGCAAGTGTCCTTTGACCTGATGGGTCAAAAACACCAATAACCAATCAAAATGCCGCACTAGTAGAACCCAATGTTTTCCAAATGGTAGTGATCATAAAAATTTCATTGCGGAAGTAAAGCGATGTTGTAGCAAGATGTGTTAGTATGGATTTCAGATGAAAACTACATGATGGTTTTCGAAGGAGTTAATAAACAATTAATAAAAGGTAAAATAGGTCTTGAAAGAGTTTTACATGATGCAATAATCACGCAGTAAACGTTTTTTTCTCCCTCGAGTAGGGTAAACTGATTGTGAACTGTGCTTTGCCCATATTATATTGAGGTGGAATTGGTTTCAAAAAAATTTTAGCTTTCAATTTACAGACTGCTAACAAAGAGGTGGTAATTTTACAAAATTGACTTGTATTGTTCACAAGCCACTACCACATCATCCGACTGTCTCGTTTACAAATTATCCACGACTGGCAGGATGCGCGTCTGTTGGTACATAATTATAATATCAGACAATAGTCCGAGTCAGAAGCATTTCTGTGGTGATCGCTAATTTTGAGTGCCCGTATGCATTTCGTACTACAATCAATTAAAGATATTAGAAAATGAACAATATGTATAGTATCAAAGCAACAGGACTTGCCTTGCCTTTCTTTTTTTTCAACAAGAATTCAATAATATCACTTCAGGTTTGTAGTTTTCAATAAGTCGTCGAAAAAGTAAAACATTGACGACCAACAATTACTCGTATGATAATCTCCGCTCGACAGCCAAGCTGAAAAGAAAAAGCACTGTGGTGGTGGTGGTGGTGTCAGATGAGTGTGACGGGACCTCCAAGCAGTTTACATTTTAGGGGGGGCACATGTATTCTAGTTACTTTCGACGATATTGGTTTTTGTTAAATTAAATTCACTGGGAATTCCACAGATATTATCAACTCTGCACTTTTTAACTATATGCAGATTTGTATCAAGCGGGCGAAGACGAGTTCGCAGCAAACTTCACCCATGGCTAACAAATTTCTGATCTATGTGAAACAAGTCCCAAGAAGAAAGAATACTTCGTCAAAGGGTGATCATTGCATCAACATATTTGAATATGAGCAAGGTTTCTGCCAAGTAGCCCAGTTTATTGGGAGATTCATATTGAAATGTACATAGCACCCAATAAATACGTGTACAGGAAGCATTGCTGTTAAAAATTACATTATTCAAATTTTATTCCATCCCAAAATGACTTTAGAATTGAATACGTACTACAGGTATCCCCAGGCGACACTTTGTACTAATTATATACAATTCCAAATACATTATTTCAATTTAGCTTTGCATATGTACCAAAATGTCAAACTTAGTTCTTGCAGTCAGTCCATAAACAACGAAATAGAATATTAAATACAAATTGACACTCGTAATTTTATTTTTAATTCAAAAAGCACAAGTACCTAAAATGCAGGATTTATAAAAGCAACAAATTTGATAATCTCCAGTTCCCCAAACTTCTAACAAGAGACAATATAAAGTTTTGACAAACCCAATACTGAAGCAATAAACTTTGTGATAGAACTTTGAGTGGATGGAATTAAATGGACTAGGTAATTATCCTGCAAGAGACTCCTATCAATTAGAAGTAAAACTGTTTTAGAAAAGCATTGGTATGATAGTATAACAATGAATTATATGCACATTGTTTGAATAAGTCTGTGCTACAAGTCAGCAAAAAACATATTCAATATTATAGGGTCTGGTTATTATTTGGTCACTTATTTCTTGGGAGAGGGCATCAAGTGGCGAATGGGTCTTCCTTTCTCTAGATTCTTCTCCATATCAATGAGTGTATTCAAACCATCTATCAGTTCCTGCACAAGTTGTACCTGTTGGATAAATTGGGATAGTTTTCAGACCAAGCACAAATGCATTCAACAAAATCTTTATGCAGCATCATTTGACTGCTAACTCAATTCAGCTTTATCTCGACTAATAAATACATGTGAAAGCAGTACTCACTTCAGATTTTCCAAGACGATCTGTGTTTGAGATATCAAATATTCCACCAGTGGCTGCTGTATCTACACCACCTGTACCACGTTTCTGCAACCGAAGATTCTCAAGAATTTTTTCAAAATCTGCATGCTGAAGAAACAAATAACCTGTTTTTTAGTTTAAAATTCAAGACTGGCCAATTTACATTATCAGCTAGCTAACAATTGCACATGTTGCATATCACAACAACTATCAACATTCAGGTGTCATTTGAAATCACAAGTCATTGCCAAAGTACAACATTAAGGTACATTTGTAGCGAGTATGACACTTGTACAACTGAAAATGTCAAGCTGAAAGACCAATCAGTAATATAATTAGCTCTGCAAGTTTAGCGGAGCTATAAAGTACGCAATCATATTCTCCTATATTGACCGTCTAAAAACATTGCCTTTTTTAGTAAGTACGAGTTGGAGATTTTTATGATTTATTCCCGTCATGTTTTTAGTGACTTCTTCAAACAATGAAAAGCAGTCAGATTATGTTTAAATATTATAGTACTTAGCATATTAGCACAATGCTTGATCATTAATCAACATGCACACTATTGTGCCATCAGGTGTGCCCAAAAAACGGTTGATGTTTAAAGTGCCTGTGCAATGCCCACCCTCACGTTTCCCATTTTAGATCTGTGTCCCACTGAAATGGGCAGTTATTGATTTTTTTGCTGAAAATGATTACTTGTATCCAAGTAAATTTGGGATATCTCTTGTGTTGTAGCCACGTCCACCTATCCTGAAACTGTCGATCGTTTCCGGATTTCCGACTCTCGCCGAAAGTGCGCCACCAAATGACAAAAAATGTGAGAGGAAGTCATACCCCCGAGCCGTAATAACACTGGTCATTCAGTATAGTTTTAAACGATATACATTTTTCGATCGGCGTTTTATTTTTTTTTTGAGAAAGTTTTTAGTTGTGTTGTGGGCAGTTGCAGTGAAACGTATAGTCATAGTGTATGTATTTACATGTTTCTAATCGATCCGAAGGTGCGATATCAGTGGACGAAAGCCACTTAACGTAAACTTGGCGCAACACTTTTGAAAGAAATAGATTCCGGACCAGCCCATGATCACCGAGGCAGATTTTAGAAGAGAGACATGCGGCAAGTGTTTCAAATGAGTTGACTTTTTTTGCGACCGTGATTATAGTTTTATCGTTTAGTCCCTGTTAGGTAAAAGGTAGCAATAATTTTGACAGTGACACGAAAACGAAGCATCGGACAAACAGGAAATTACACAGCCCTTACACACTTCTAATTGTTTTCATTTTCGAAGGCTAAAAGTTTCTGAGTTGTTTGGTGTTGAATGCCAAATTCACACCTCTGTTCCTTTTTTACCTCCATGCTTGCAGCTTGATCTGCGTAATAATTTATGAAATAAGAATTCGGGCTTGGTCGATGCGTTTCCACCAAATGAAATTTTAATATGATGTTATATTTATGACAATCACGCCATGGATCACGCTAACTCGAATCGACTCTGAATTTATCTGTATGTGTGTCGATCTTGATTATTTTTGTTATCCAATTAAACGTCGCTTATAACGCACTTGACCTCGTCGTGACCCGACGCGTTCACCTATTTCAATAAAAAGTCATTTATTTCCATGCGGCTGTCATTTATTTAGTAACCGATTTGTCGTTTTTTAAAATTATTTTATAGTGATCACTATAGTCTAATGTTTAGAATGTCAGAATATGTTCTCTTTT